TGTCACATCCAGTAATATGGCAATTAGGAATAAGAATATTCCTAAATATTTAAAGGCCAAAAATGAAAAGGAAAAATAGAATAATTTTGGTGGAAAATAATTATTATAATTTTCCAAGCCAATTATGAAAAGTTTGACTAATTAAGGAAAATTGGTCAAGAATAATTATGGAAAAATAATTTTGAGTCTCAGAAAATTAAGGAAAAATAAGGACAATGTTCCTTGAGAATTATATAGGATTATAAAATTGGTTTTATGACCAATTTGCCCTTAGAGAAATTATAAAGGAATTTAAGGCCAATTTAAGCTAGTTTAAGGTCTTTATTTGGAAAATTTCAAATAAATATTTTTAAGAAGAATAAAATTCCAAGAAAATTCCTATGATATCCCAAGGAATTATAAGAGATTATGGAATTAAAAGAAGACCCTCAAGTATCTAGGATTTTTCCCAATTCCTCTGAAAAGTGGAAAAATCACTAAAGAGAAGGAAATTAGTTTTCCATTTTATTTAATTATCGGAAAATTTAATTTGAGACGAAGAGGGCAATTTGAGAAGATAAAAATGAGGAGAATAATTTATGGATCTGACAGGAAATAATTACAGGGGCCAGAGCACTGTAATGATAGAAAAGAAGTTAAACCCGGAGCAAAAGTGCACCGATAAAGCAAGAAGTAGAGTCTTGCACTTTGCTTGACCCACAAGTTGCCACTTTTCAGACCTTTAATGGATGGTAATTAAAGCTTTCCAAGTGTCAAGCTACCAATGTAGAGGATCTTGACTTTGGAATTTAATTACATTATGATTTAAGTTAATTAAGAGAGAGGATTAAGACTAATTAGGCTCTTGACACGTGGCATATCATTAATGATGGTTGGTGGGATATTTTGTGAGCATTAATGAGCTTTTCCTCCCCCATAATTAGGCCTCATTTCGTGCTAAAGGGAAAAGAGAGAGAGCAAGAGTGATTTTGTAAAGAGATCAAGCAAAAGCAAGCATATTTGACCTTCCAACTAAGATCCAAGCTTGGTAAGTTGTCTTAAGATGTTGCTTGCTTTGTTTTATTGATTTGTATGGTTGGAAAAATCACTTCTTTTCCCTTCTTGTTGCTGGCCAAAATGGGTATAGTGTAGGGAAGGAGGTTTTGTTGTTAAACATAGTTAGAACACTATGATTTAAGATGGTTTCAAGTGGTTTAGTGTTATTTTGAAAAGTTTTTCATGGTTGAACTTCAAGAGGTTTGGTTTGGCCAAGACCAAAACTGAACCTAAGGATGTGTTTTTCAAATTTTTGAGGCTTCCATTGTGTTCAAAATGAAAAATGGTGTAGGGTAAACCTAAAGAACAAGTGTTGGAAGCCATAGAATCAAAGTTGCAATTTTTGGGTTTTGAACCCTAATGGTTCGGCCAAACTGAAACTAAAGGAAGGAAATTTATTTTGTTAAATCCAAGTAGATATTTGGAATCTACATGAAAAAATCATGTAGGGTTGAGTCAAGAGGAAATTTTTAGGGTTTATGGAAACCAGCTCTAAAAATTCAAGAACAAAGATGGAAGCTTTAAGGGGTTTAAGAGTTACTTGAGTTATGTTATTGATTTTATGAGGAATGGTTGATGATTCTTTCTGCCCTTTTTGTGGATTGCCATGTTAGGGTTTGGTACTTGTGGAAGCAAGAAGGAACAACAAGAAAAACAAAAAGCAGTAGATCAAGGTAGTGGGATCTAATTAGCCATTAATGTTAACTTTGCATTGTTATTTATAGCATGTATGCTTGCTATTATATGGTTGAACTATGATGTTGTGATATGGTTGCTCCTTGAATTTGTTGCCATGGCCTTGCATGTTGAGGTTGCCTATTTACAAAAAGATTAGTTCTCCTATGATAGCTAATGTTGAGATGCTTTATAATGATGCATGTTAATGTTTTGGTTGATTGATCTTGCTACTGGGATTTCTTAAAATCTCATCCCCCAAATATAATCTAAAATTTTAGCACCTGAAACTCCTATGAGCAAGCTACAGATTGGAGACTAAAGTATGGTGTCTTGCCATAAAATTCGTGGACCCTTTTTGGTTATGTATATATTAAGCTAACAGTGTTGTAAGCACACTGACACTGCCACATTCACGTGACTTTTTAATTATGCTCCCAAACGCGTTTAGTCACAAAATTTGGCATGATGAAATATAATGTCCTGAGCTTCAATTTGATAGCTAATATGTTAAAAATGGACCAATATAGGATTTTTAATGATTTTTCAAATTTAAAGATTAGAATCTGGGAAAAAAGGGTTTTGGCAAATGGATAGTGTTGCATTTCTCAAAAACCTGATGCTGTTTTATAAGGAATTGGATAATGAGATTATTTTTCCTTGAAATAGGACTTAAATATCTTTAAGTAGAATTTTGAACCACCCCAATTGGATTTTTGTTGAATAAGTTATGAATTTTTGAAGTTGGGCTAGAAAAACTGGATTTTTACCCGATGAACAGTAAAAATCTGAAATTTAGAGTTTTTGTGGTAAAAAGTGAGCCCAAGACCATCCAATGTGGTCAAAAATGGTTTTGAAAGGAACCTAAGTCAATATAATAGAAGGTGTGACAGTTTTCTTCTAAAAATCAATCCATACACCACTTATTCTTCCTTATTCCACTTGATTATTAAGGTTTCTATTCTTTTCTAAGCATCACACATTTCAATTGAAAATTTCAAATTTTTCCAGCATTTTCCCAAGCAAGAATCCTTATTTAATCAAGGTAAAACTTGGGGAGAATGATGCTTGGACATACCTTAATGTTTTCTTGGTTTATGTTGGATAATTTCTTGCCTAATGATTTTCGAACAAGGTGGTTGGATGAATAGTAGCAGAATTTCCCCTTATTTTTTCCAATTTTCTAACATTTTCTTGGTATTTTCTAGGGGTATTTGTAAACCAAATAATATGCCATTTTCCCCTTATTTAGGATGCCTAAAATGATAGATAAGAGGGTGTGTTGGCAGTCATCAAGTGCCTCAAACCTTCAAACCTCACCATGGCTTTTTTTTAGATTTTTCCACATAAATATCCCTTAATTTCACATTTTATTTAATAAAAATGGAGGGACCTGGAAGGGGCACAAAATTGGGCCCTTATTGGGATCAACATGGGCCCTACAAAAGGTTTGGCTGGTCCAAAAAGATGACCCACAAACCAAATCACTATCTCAAACCAATTAGAAACTTTATCGGTTACTTTTCACTAGTGACGTTTCATAATTTTTCTAGACCTCCAAAAATTTATTTCTATCCATGATAATTCACCTTTTAATATGAGAATATGATCTTGAAATTTTCAGAATTTTTTGCCACCTCTAGGTATTTATTTTGAATTTTCTCCGATTAGGCCTCTATTAGTTTCACTATTGGAAAATAAATTTTCAAAAATTAATTTCTGAACTTTCAAGGCTTAAAACTAGTTTTATAATTTCAAATAAATATTTAGATGAATTTCCATCAATCTTCCAAATTTATTGAGGCCTCTAGCTAATTGAAATAATTATTTTCCCTCAATTTTCCAATAATTTCCTGAAAAAACCTTCATTTACGGGAAATTCCGTAATAATTCCTTTTCACCGATATTCCACCTTTCATACCTCAACCAAGTTTTCAAAACTCTACTCTACACTTTTCTTATTTTTTAGGGATGTTTTGGAATTTTTCTCAATTTTTCTCGTTTTGCCCTTCCTAAACCGAGGATTATGAAAAGGCCAGTCTGGATCTTTTCGGGGTTTCATGTCAAAAGTTGTTTCATCTCCTTGTCTAGTTCCTATATTGACCCTCATCCTAATTTTTGATCCTTTATCGCCAGATGAAAATTTTGGGATGTAATAAACCTCCCTTTTTAAATAAATTTCATCCTCGAAATTTAAAAACATACCTTAATTAAACAATTCTGGGTATCTGGCCTTCATGTCATCCTCCTTTTCCCATGTAGCTTCTTCTTATGTTAGATCCTCCAGATAACTTTGACCATCAGAATAGTCTTATTCCGTAGCTTCTTAATCTGTCGATCTACCATTTTCACTGGTTTCACCTCAAAAGTAAGGTTATCTTGCAATTCTATGTCCTCATATTTCAAAACATATGAGGGATCTGGTTGATACTTTTTCAGTTGAGAAACATGGAGGACGTCATGAATCTGGCTCAGATTAGGGGGTAGGGCCAATCTGTAAGCTATCGGGCCAACTCTTGACAAGACTTGGAAGGGTTCGATGAACTTTAGCGTCAATTTGTGGGCTTAGATTGATCTTCCTATACCCGTAGTTAGAGAAACTTTTAGAAAAACATGATCTCCAACTTCAAACTCTTGAGGCCTTCTACGTATGTCGGCATAACTTTTCTGTCTACTCTATGCTGTGAGTAGCCTTTGTCGAATCATCTTTATCTACTGTGAGGTTTGCTCTACCAAGTCAGGACCAAATAGCTTCCCTTCTCCCAATTCAGTCCAACATAATAGGGATCTACATTTCTCCCGTACAAAGCTTTCTAAGGAGCCATTTGGATATTAGAATGGTAACTGTTGTTATAGGCGAACTCTGCCAGAGGTAAGTACTCGTTCCCTTTGAAATCTAGGACACAAGCTCTTAACATATCCTCTAACATTTGAATAGTACGTTCTGTTTGCCTGTTAGTTTGAGGGTGATAAGCCATACTAAAACTTAGCTTAGTGTCCATGGCTTCCTGTAATGCTTTCCAAAATCTAGAGAGAAATCTTGGGTCCCTATCAGAGACAATCATCTCAGGTACTTCGTGCAACCTCACAATTTCCTGGATGTATATCCATGCCAGCTTTTTCGGTTGATATTCTTTCTTGATGGCCAAGAAATGAGTTGACTTTGTCAGGCGATCTACAATCACCCATATTGCATCGTAACCTGACGATGTACGAGGTAATCCCATTACAAAATCCATGGAAATGTTTTCCCATTTCCATTTTGGAATACTCAGGGGTTGTAAGGATCCTTACAGCTTTTGGTGTTCTGTCTTTACCTTCTGACAAGTGAGGTACCTCGACATGTAGTCTGTTACATCTCTCTTCATACTAGGCCACCAGAATGATTCTTTAAGATCCCAATGCATCTTGGTCATGCCTGGATGTATGGTGTAGCAACTCTTATATGCCTCTTCCAGAATTCGCCCCTTAATCTCTAAGTTCGGGGGAATATAAGTTCTTCTCTTATACTTAAGGATCCTTTCCTGAGTTATCTCGAAATCCTTTGTCTCATTTCTTAGCACTCTGGCTTTCAATGTATCAGCCAGTTGATCTCTTTGTTGGGCCTTCTTGATCTGTTCAATGATTTGTGTTTCCGCTTTTACAATACTAATTTGGCTCGCCATCAGTCGTATCTGACTGGTAAGATCCCAATCTCAGATATTCTCGATCAACTCTTGTTCTTTTATTATTAACAATACCACCTGCATTGTTTTCCCGCTTAACGTATATGCTGCTACATTCGCTTTCCTCGAATGGTATTTGATTTGATAATTGTAATCCTTGAGCAATTTCATCCATCTCCTCTGTCTCATGTTGAGTTTTTTCTAGTCTTACAGGTACTTGAGGCTCTTATGATCATAATATAATTCGATGGTTGCTCCATATAAATAGTGCCTCCAAATCTTCAAGGCATACACAATCGTTGCCAACTCAAGATCGTGAGTGGAATAGTCTTCCTCATGAGTCCTTAACTGTCGTGAGGCATAAGCGACCACTCAACCCTGCTACATCAACACACATCCTAATCCTTGCTTACTCGTATCTGTATACACCACATATGGCAATGTAGGATCAAGGATTATTAACACGGGAGTCGAGGTTAGCTTCTGTTTCAATTCATAGAAGCTTGCCTCACACTTACTATCCCAATTGAACAACTGATTCTTTCAGGTGAGCTTAGTGAGCGGTTGGGCAATCCGTGAAAAATCCCGTATAAACCTTCTATAGTACCCTGCTAGTCCCAGAAAACTTCTCACCTTAGTTACTGTCTTAGGTTGTTCCCAATTCAACATGGCTTCTACCTTACTTGGGTTCACGGCCACTCCATCTCAAGTTATCACATAGCCCAAGAATTTCACTTCATTTAGCCAAAATTCGCACTTACTCAACTTGGCATATAGTTACTTTTCCCGTAACGTGCCCAATACGATTCACAAATGTTGTTCGTGTTCCTCTGGTGACTTAGAATACACCAAGATGTCATCGATGAATACCACCACGTATTGGTCCAAGTATGGCCGGAAGATCCTATTCATGTAATCCATGAATATAGCAGGTGTGCTCGTCAATCTAAATGGCATCACTAGGAATTCATAATGTCACATCCAGTAATATGACAATTAAGAATAAGGATATTCCAAAATATTTAAAGGTCAAAAATGACAAGGAGAAGTAGAAGAATTTTGGTGGAAAATAATTATTATAATTTTCCAAGCCAATTATGAAAAGTTTGACTAATTAAGGAAAATTGGTCAAGAATAATTATGGAAAACTATTTTCAAGCCTCAGAAAATTAAGGAAAAATAAGGATAAGGTTCCTTGAGAATTATATGGGATTATAAAATTGGTTTTATGACCAAACTGCCCCTAGAGAGATTACAAAGGAATTTAAGGGCAATTTAAGCCAATTTAAAGTCGTTATTTGGAAAAATTCCAAATGAATATATTTAAGGGGAATAAAATTCTAAGAAAATTTCTATGATATCCCAAGGAATTATAAGATATTATGGAATTAAAAGAAGACCCTCAAGTATCTAGGATTTTTCCCAATTCCTCTGAAAAGTGAAAAAATCACTAAAGAGAAGGAAATTAGTTTTCCATTTTATTTAATTATCAAAAATTTAATTTGAGACGAAGAGGGCAATTTGAGAAGATAAAAATAAGGAGAATAATTTATGGATCTGACAGGAAATAATTACATAGAAAAGAAGTTAAACCCGGAGTAAAAGTGTACCGATAAAGCAAGACTAGAGTCTTGCAATTCAAATGGCTCACACTTAGCCATGTGTCAAGCCTTTAATGGATGGTAATTAAAGCTTTCCAAGTGTCAAGCTACCATTGGAGAGGATCTTGACTTTGGAATGTAATTATATTATGAATTAAGTTAATTAAGAGAGATGTTTCAAGAAGGCTTAGGCATTTGACAATTGGACTTTCATTAAATGTGGTAGATGATATATTTTGAGAGCATTAATGAGCTCATCTCTCCCCTAAATCAGATGGGAATTTTGGCCAAGGCAAAGAGGAGAGGAAAAGAGAGGGTTTTGGAAGGAGAACCAAGGAAAGCTATCAACTTTGGTCATCAATCAAGGATTCAAGGTGAGATCTTGGTTCTAGATGTGTTCTTGCCTTGTTTTCCTTCTCTTTTAAGGTTGAAAAATCTGTCTTCTCTCCCTTTTGATGGCTGGTTGAAATGGTTGATGAGTGGGGAAGGGAGTTTGGTTGTTAGATCTTGCTAGATCACCTCAAAGTATGGTAGATCCAAGTGGTTTAGTGTTGTTTTGAGAAGTTTTTCATGGTTATTTCTTTGAGTGTTATTTTCGGCCAAAGCAAGATCTAAACCCTAGGAGATGTTTTTCAAAGTTTTGAGACTTCCAATGTGTTCAAAATGAAAAATAGTGTAGGCTAAACCGAAAGAACAAAGGTTAGAAGCCATAGTATCAAAGTTGCAATTTTTGGGTTTCAAACCCTAAGGGTTCGGTCAAACTGAAAATGAAGGAAGGAGATTTATTTTGTTAAATATAAGTAGATATTTGGAATCTACATGAAAAATCATGTAGGGTTGAGTCAAGAAGTGATTTTTAGGGTTTATGGAAACCAACTTTAAAAATCCAAGAACAAAGATGAGAGCTTTAAGGGGTTTAGAAGTTATTTGAGTTATGTGTTGATTTTTATAAGGAATGGTTGATGATTTTTGCTACCCTTTTTATGGATTTCCATGTTAGGGTTTGGCACTTGTGGAAACAAGAAGGAACAACAAGAAAAACAAAAAGCATTGGATTAAGGTAGTGGGATCTAATTAGCCTTTAATGTTAACTTTGCATTGTTATTTATGGCATGTATGCTTGCTATTATATGGTTGAACTATGATGTTGTGATATGGTTGCTCCTTGCATTTGTTGCTATGGCCTTGCATGTTGAGGTTGCCTATTTATCAAAAGATTAGTTCTCCTATGATAGCTAATGTTGAGATGCTTTATAATGATGCATGTTAATGTTTGGTTGATTGACCTTGCTACTGGGATTTCTTAAAATCTCATCCCCCAAATATAATCTAAGATTTTTGAGCCTAAAACTACTATGAGCAAGCTACAGATTGGAGGCTAAAGTATGGTGTTTTGCCATAAAATTTGTGGACCCTTTTTAGTTATGTACGTATTATACTAACAGTGCTATAAGCACATTGACACTGCCATGTTCACGTGACTTTTTGATTATGCTTCCGGATGTGTTTAATCACAAAATTTGGTATGATGAGAGATAACGTCCTGAGATTAAATGTGATATCTAATATGGTAAAAATGGCCAAGTATACAAATTTTAATGATTTTTCAAAGTTATAGGTCAGAATCTGGGAAAAAGGGTTTTTGGCAAATGGACAATGTCGCATTTCACAAAAACCTGACACTTTTTCATAAGGAAATGGATCATGAGATTATTTTTCCATGAAATAGGACTTAAAGAGCTTTAAATACAATTTTGAAACACCCTATTTGGATTTTTTTTTTAAATAAGTTATGAATTTTTGAAGTTGGGTCAGAAAAACTGGATTTTTACCCGATGAACAGTAAAAATCCGAAAATCAACGTTTTTCCATGTATTTTAAGCCCAAGACCATCCAATGTGTTCTAAAATAATTTTAATTAAATCCTACATGGATCTGATAGTAAGGTGTGACACATAATGCCCATACCTAGTTCAAAAGGCAGTCTTCGAAACATCTTCTGCCTTGATTCTTAATTGATGATACTTGGATCTCAAGTCAATCTTTGAAAATGTAGTGGCTCTTGTCAACTGATGTAACAAAGCATAAATTCTCGATAACAGGTACTTATTCTTAATCGTCATCTTGTTCAACTCACGATAGTCTATATACAACCTCAAACTACCATCCTTCTTCTTCACAAACAACACTGGTACACCCCACGGAGATACACTGGGGTGTATGAACCCTTTCTCTAATAGCTCTTCTAATTGCTTTTTCAATTCCTCTATTTCATTTAGCGCTATCCTATATAAAGCTTTTGAGATTGGACTTGTCCCAGGCACAAGGTCAATAGCAAACTCAATATCTATTTTAGGAGGGAGTCTGCTGATTTCTATTGGAAACACTTCAGGGAATTCCCAAACTATTAGGATATTAGCAATCCCTTCCTCTGTTTTTGCCTTCACCGTGAAAAATACTATGTACCCCTGGCAACTCTATCTCAACCATTTATCCGCTTGAGCCACCAAAATCATGTTCAACTTTACTTCTGTCATCGGGGTTAACTCTCAGGTAGGAAGGATCAATATTTTGTTTTTACAATCAAGGAGAACATTTTAGGAGAACGACCAATACAAACCAAGGATAACATTAATATCACAGAAAGGCATGCATATCAGGTCTAACATAGTGCAATAGTGGGCATACCGAACAATGCAATTTAAACAAACAGCAGAAGTTAAAATTTTTGTTCCCGTGAGAGTGGAAATACACAAATCATACAGCAATATGTCGACAGCAAGACCTAAGTGCCTAGCGCAATCATATGATATAAATGAGTGGCTGGCACCTGAGTCAAACAAAGCATCCACAAGTTAGACATTCATAGTAATCGTACCTATGATCATCTCGGGTGACTTACAAGCCTCTTCCCGACCAAGGGCAAACACCCTACCCTGTGCTTGAGGTCTTCCCGTGCTGTCGACACCTTGCGAGCACTCCCTAGCAAAGTGTCCGGGTCATCCACTCCTAAAGCACACACTTTGACCTATCGTCCACAGCCTGTCTCTGTGATTACAGCCACATCGATCGCATTCCCTTCCTTGGCAAACATTCTCCGCTCCTAGGTGGACATTCTCTGTGCCTCCTCATCGGGCTCCCCACCTCGACCTCCTGTTGCAGTTAAATCTCCTTTTCTTCTCGCTACCACCAAAAGAAGTGCCTTCCTGACCCACTCTTACCCCTGGCTTCTCAACTCGCGGGGGTGCTCTAACCAGCTCAGCATGATTTTGGCTATTCTTGGTGATATAGTAGGCTTCCATCGCCTAGTTGAAAACTTCCAGCTATCTCGGGGCTACCTTCTCTCTCAACTCAGGCTTCAGCCTCCTAATTATTTTCTCGATAAACCAGCACTCATCA